TGGTATCGAATATTTTCCTTAGTATCGGAATCGAGTTGAAAAGTTTAGTATCGTGACAACACTAAAAATTGATAATCATCTGATGAGGAAAAACAAGTATTTGACCCCCTACCAAACAGCAAGTATTCTGTTACCAGATACCAGGGTGTATAAAGTCTTAAGTGGGAAACAAGTGACAAAATCTAACTGCCACCTCTGGTCGGCCATTTAATCAAAGATTTGATCTTCCTGGCATTATTTATTAGATTTAGAGAGGAGGATGGGAAAACAAAGCCTATTTTGAAGTGCTCATGTTTTAGTTGCAGTGTGTTTTTGTTGTTGTTGTTGGTTGCTGCATAATTGTCTGTTTAAAAATACCATATTCCCAGTAATTACTTTTAAATCAGATGGCAGCAAGACTATATTTGCACCTTGTGTGTTTCTTTTTTGAGTAACTTGGTGAACATGACATTTTTTTGGGGGGGGAGTCTGTTACAGTTAAATAATAAAACCCTAAAAAGGAATACTTTGAGATTAATAGATAGATATACTCTATTTATTCCAAGCTGGGAAATTGCAGAGTAGCAGCATCTTTACACATATTGACAGTCACAACGCAATGAGGTAAAAATAAAATAAAATCCAGACGTAGAGAAACGAAGGAAAGAGAAGACACTAACAAGTAAATGAAAGTTAAAAAAGCCGTTAACAGTCTGCTCAATCACTAAGGGCCACAATTGTGATTAAAAGTATTATTATATGTATTAATATATACCATTTATACCACTGAGTAAGAGTGTTTGAGGAATAACTACTCATTGGACACAGGGATATTTAATGACAGTTAGACTGAGGTTATAAAGAAAAAAACAACATTTATCTCTTGAATAATCAAAATCTATGGCTCCAACATTAAACCAGTATCCCACCTCGGACTCCCTTCCAATCTAATCCCAAATCAGCTGTTAAAGAAACTCAATTGGAGCGATTACGAAACCACAGGCACTGGTTCTTTTTCCGGCCAGATAATAGGATACCTTGATGAGCCGGATTATACAGAGTAAGAAGTGCTGGTTGGAGAGAAACAGATCAACTCCTGGCGGACTTGGCTAAATAGAGATTGGATATTTTGGCAGTTGCTGTGAATGCAGTCAATACCTTGTCTTTGAGGTCAAGAAAATAACCATGGTATAAAGAACATGGAGAGACAAAGAAGGTGTGGAAAAATATCTATTGTTAAAGGTCTACAGTTTTAGTTGGATAGAATTTGATCTTCTGTTAAGTAGAGGATTTAAAAATCTCCTTCCTGTCCAATCCTCCTTCCTTTTTATTTTTTATTTTTTAAACCACTGTCCCTCTGACCGCTGTATGCTGCCAATAAAATCAGCTTCTAACTGTGCCCAACAAACTGGCCGTAGCAGGCAAAACCTCTGTACTACACCTTGTCAAAACTATTACATTCCTATCTTCGGCAAACATTGGACATTGTGGCCACTCTCTGGAACCAGCTTTCCTTTAGCTAAGAGTCGGTATTCTGACTAAGATACATTTTGCAAGAATAGTCTGTTGAAAGGAATCATGGTTTATATAATTTTCATATATATAGAAATCTAATAAAATATCCTTTGCACTTGCTTTCAACTTCCTTAATCTTTTAACCAGAAATGGAATGTAGAGCAGCTTTTAGAAGACAGTGATGGTAAAGAGTAGTCCATATGTGTGATTTAAACTGTCTTGCTAAGACCTTGGAGTTTATTTGAGCACAAAAAAGCTTCATAAAGACAAAGGAACGTCAAAAGGATGTCAAAGAGGTCATGGTTAAAGTTGTTGAAAAAATATTACATGTCACCCTGAACATATACTTTTGTTGAAACATGGTGGGGGTTGCATTATTCTGTGTGAGATATTTTTCTTTAGTGGGAAAAGGGTAGCTATCTAGATTTGGTGATAAGATGGATGGAGGTGGACAATATCCGAGGCTGCAAAGGATTTGATAAAAGGATTTGATTAAAGGGATGATTAAAGGGCCTAGTCGAGGTCCAGACTGAAAGTTTTTTGAGGACCGGTGCTCAGACTGAATGTTGAGCCATGTTCCCCATTCACTTTGACTGAGCTTGAGCCCTTTTACAAAGGATAAGAAAACTAGGCTTTGCAGCTATAATTGCAGCAACAGTTGTTTTTATAGGCTTGAATGCAAATGGCTGACACACTTTAGAAATAAAGTATGCATTGTTTTCATAATGTTTGTCTAGCATACCAAATCTTTCAAGTATTATACAATATGGCACTCTTTCATAATAAGGAAAATGGTTATGACTTTTTCTATGATTTTTGGGTTATTTAAAAACTGTTGATATTAATCAATGCCCCAAATTCTTATTCTCAAGTTTAAAGCGTATTCCTGTTTACTTATCATGACCCACACAAAAGAAGAGTTAAATAAGCTTAGACTGTGGACCTCATAATACTAAATTGTTACCAATAGCTGTCTCTTTTATTTACTTTCAGTGGTTTGACAAGACATCTTGCTGAAGAACCGTTTGAAACGTGCATTTCTCGTCTGCATGGCGCCTCTGACTTCGGAGATTCATCTCAATCAATCCAGAACATCAAAGGCAACATGCTGTTTTATTTAATGTTACTAAACTAGGGATTTTTCACATTGGAGAAGAGTTGCTCTGGTATATGTATACACTCCCCTACATCTGCTTACAATGACTGGGCCTTTCAGACTGCAAAAGACAGATGCGTTCATTTTACCCTTACCCTGAAATACGCTCAGATCCCCAACAGTCTATCTGCATCTTAAACCATGCATGGAAAAGAGCTCCATGTACTGATCACTGCTTTGGATGACCTAGAGGACATCATCTTCACTGACTCTGCTGATTAGCCAACCATTTTTAAAGGTGGACGGCAATGAGTTCTCATAATTCAGAGGACCGCAGTTCCTATTTTTTTTTTTCCTTTTATCATCTGTGCACGTTTTCCTTCAGAACTTGTTAAGCACGAACAACATTTTTAGTAACCGATGGTGCAGGAAAAATGATGCTTTAATCATGTTTTAGTGTCTTTTGTTTTTTATAGGAGGAACTCACTTTACCAGATAGAAGTAGGAATTGTCTAACTGGTCTGAATGATGTCTAATTTCCTGGACTCTAACTTTTATAAACGAATAACACAACTGAAAAATGTTCTTATGTAACCTGAAGGAAACTAGATTTTTTTTTTTCAACATTTCAGAGGTTATCAGTTTATTGTAATTCCTAAGCTGCGCTTGAACATATTCTGTTTTTTTTTTTTGGTTGGGAGCTGTAACTGTACCATTATGTTAATCCTGGGAGGCCACTTTTTTATCCTAAGCTGCTTTTATAAAGGTGTACTTTTAAGTTTGCCTTTTTATAAACTTTACACCCTGCACATTGTTGTCCTTTAAAATAGCATCGAGGTGTGGAGATGCCAAAAAAAAAAACGCTAACTGCCTGAATGAGCACTAATGGGAAGACACACTATTTATTCACATTGTCTTAGGATGCATACGTGTATAAAGTGGAAACAACAACATCAAAATTATTACTGTTACAGCTTTTGTTCTACTTTGACTTTACTACTTTTTTTTTTTTTTTTTTAAAAGCCTCTGAATGCTTGAAGAAATCTTTAAAGGAATTGATATCGGCATACCTGAATATATATTTTTGTGTAAGAAAAAAAAAAGTGTTCAATAAATATTGGGTATTTGATTGCCAAAAGAAATCTAAAAAAAATGATAAAGTTGTTTTTCTTTGAAAGATCTGAACTATATTTTGTTCTATATTAGTAAAATCCTCTGAAATTTACTGTACCCTTGTGGTCAGATTTTTGTTATGGCTGAAAAGCTACACTTATTTGTTTGCTTTCCAATGAAAGATTAAATATGAAAATGTTTTTCTTGTTTATTTTATATAAGTGCAGTGGATTTCAAAAGTACACACACCTTGAGAAAAACAAAACGATCCTCTTTTTTTGGGGGGTTCAAAATATAATTTCCTGGTTTGTTAGACTCATTACCCAGTTAGTTTAGGCAGATGGTATCCATGACTGGATGTTGTCTTTGATAGAAAAATCTGTCTAGTAACTCTGGTGGGGCCCAAGGGATCGTAGTTCTTTCAATAATGCTGTTTGTGAAATTGTCTTCTTCATTTTGCAGACTTTTTGTAACTTTCATATTCTCCCACATTTTCTCCACTTACTAATGGCAGGTTTCACTGTGGTTGTATAATTCGGCAGAATCTCTTCTAATCTTGTCCTGACTTAAATATTTATACAATGAATTTCTCTCTACAAAGGATGAGTCAAAGGATGCAAATGTTTGGAATTCCTCTGAGAGCTTCACCTTATCTCTGGTAAATTAGAGTCACTGCAGCTAAAGATTAAATAAAGTTATTCTGAAGTTTAAGGGATTGCACAAAACCAGCTATTGAAGATTTTTTTTAAAATATATTTGTCAAAGTAATTTGGTTTTCTACTTTACTTGCAAAATATGTGTTAAATAAAAAACAAACAAAAGCTTTCTCATTTATGGTGTCATTTATTAGTCTGAAGCCTGGCTTTTTGATAGCACTGCAAGCATTATAAATCTTTATTCCCATCCGTCATCATTTGACCCTCTTCTAACTTCAGAAGCTCTTTTCTTTTTTTATATCTCCCTCCACGCATCTTTGTTTTCCTATTCTTTTTTTTTTTACTTTAAATATTTTAAGAGGTGAAGAAAGCTGAACCAAGGAGCCCAGACAAGTTTCCAACAAAAGGCCTGAGTGCTTTTATATCTGAGGGAAATGTTTCCAGCCTTTGCGTCACACGATCTCAACCTTCTCCCATTGAAGTGTTTGTTCTTGGCTCTAACTGCACTGTAGGGTTGGAGTGTTCTGTGTTACAATGCTATGCTGCATCCTTTCTCATTCTTCCCTTTTCTCTATCCACCAGAGAAGCCTCATTTTGAAATCTCATTATGTCACCAATTGGATTTGGGCGAAGCTCTTTAGAGCCGTCTGGCTGAGCTTCTAAACCAGTTTTGAATTAAGCAGCTCTTCTGGTCGCAGTCATGAAAACAAACAAATTTTTTAGTCAGAATTCTCTCATTGTGGACACAAATAAATGCAAAAGAGGACAAATGGAACAGTTATTAAAAGCTGATTGTCTACTTGTATATCATGCCTTTATTTTCACTGATTAAATTAAAATCTGCTATGAACAAGTGCCAAGCTGTAATTTCTGTAAAAGGCCAAAGTCGTGCCTTGAAGATCGCCTCCCATGAAGGAGATCTTCCTCAAACCAATATCTCCTAGTATCTACTTCTGACCAGATGGTTTGAAATAAGAGTATTTACAAAGGCATTAGGGTTAAGCAATCCTTCCCTCTTTTTGCTGCTTAGCCCTGCAATAAATCTCTGCGAACAATAAAAGCTGTGCAGCCTCAGCTAAAGTATGGCTACATGCTTGTATATTTAATGTGCTTCAATGGTGTGTAACTTGAACCCACCCTGACAACTTCTATTTTATTTTCTGTACATTTTGGCATTTAAAATATTAAATCTATTTTTTTTTTTGTAACAGGTTTACTGAAACATACTCAAGTTTAATAATAGAAGCGGGCATAAAGCCCACTCTTCCAGCTTTCATTTGTGGATATCCACATAATTGGATGAAACGTGTGGGAGTTTTAGCTCCTTAACATGTGCAACACTGTTTTTAAAGGGACTGAAAGTAATTGGACAATTAACTCAAAGGCTATTTCATGGGCAGGTGTCAGGCAATTCCTTTGTTATGTCACTCTGTCAAGCAGATAAAACGCCTGGAGTTGATTAGAGGAAGGAAGAAGGAAAAAGACCTGGACATCCATGGAAGACAACAGTTGTGTATGGGTACAGAATAACTCCCATACACTGGGGGAAAAAAAATAAAAAAATCTTTAACACTCTTCTTGAATTGAGCAGGAAGGTGAGACACTTTGGCAATTACACAATTTACATTTACTGCTATTTATTTTAAGCGCATAATATCTATCTTATTTTAAGTGTAAAAATACTAATTTTGTAGGCAGATTATCATATTTATCTACTAAAATTAAGGGTAAATACATTTATTTTAATGAATTTGATCAACTTCTACATTGTTTTTGCAGTGTAGTGAAAATAAACTTCTTTATAACAGTCAACCAAATAAGCAGAACTTTCCAGGAAGTACATGTGTCAATATTAAAATCTACCATAAAGAGAATCCTGCATGAAAGTAAATACAGAGGGTTCATTGCATGGCAAAAGCCACTTATTAATTTCAAGAATAAAACAACTAATTGGGCTAAAAAAAATTGATTGCACTTCTGAAAGTTTATTTTAAAGATGAAACAAAGATCAACTTCTACGAGAATGATGGAGAGAAAAAAGTCTGGCGAAATCGTGGTACAATGATCCAAAGCATTACATCTGTAAAACACGGGGGAGGTAGTGTGATGGCTTGGGCATGCCTGGCTGCCAGTGGCACTGGGTCACTAGTGTTTATTGATGATCTGTGAGCTCAAGACTTCAGGGAATACTTGCCAACAAAAGGGGTGTATAACAATCTATTTAGTTATCTTATTTTTTTCAATAACTTTTGAAGCCCTGGAATGATGGATTGTGTTTAAAAAATGGTTTAGCTCCTCACATTTTTATTCAATTGTTTTTTAAACTTTCTGAACTAGAGCACAATGCCTAAACTTCAACTACATCTGAATTATTTTATTCAATATTTATTGTCCTTATGTTCAGAATCTCTAACACCTTACTTTAGGGGTTTTGGTCTGTTCAGAGCCAGGCCTGCTGCTGCGTTAATCGGTTGATAAGAAGTTCTGCCGAATTTAGAACTCTAAATTTTTTGGAAAAAGAAAAATTAATTCTTGATTTAATAAACCAGCTGATCCTGTGGCATCACCTTAAATTCTATTCCAAAATACTTTAATTACAAAGCAAATTTAAATGTTATAAGCTGTAAATCTTGATGACTTTAGGCAGGAAGGATCCCTTTTAGCCATCTGAATCAGAAGAAGTCTGTTAGAAGATGCTGTAGTTTTACGACAGGCTGAGGAAGAGGAGAGACACTCTTCCTCAAAAAGAAAATAAACCTAATGCAGCTTAATTTGACCAAAATGGGTCAAAAAAATCCTCAAGTTAATATTAGACACTTCTTCTAAGAGCTGCACAACCAGGAATTAGGACGAGAGGTTTATCCTTTTTCACCAAGTTGAACTGGATAGTTTTTTTTTTTGTTTTTTTCCCCCTTAATTGAGTTGATACAATAATAGATTAATATGCATTTTAAAAAGAATGTTTTGAAATCAAGAAAACAAATAATAAGCTAATTATAAAAATGCACATATTTATTTTCAATAAATATTGCAGGGTAATGTTCTCATGTCAATGGTCAATTTTTAAGACATTAAAATAAATCTAAAGATGTTTAATAACACTGTAACAGTGAAAACACAATATACATCCTTATATGGCTTCTCTCATATTTCTATGCTGGAAAAAAAAATCAATTGTGCGTCGCATTAGTGCGTCTAAGTTCACAAACAACATAGATGACATTCACTCCTTCCCAAAATAGATGTATAGATGTATTTTGTGTTTGAGTCATCAGGCCAAATGTTCCTGGAGGCGTAAAGGTAGATCGTCCAATGAAACGATCCGGTGCTCCTGAGGGACATCCCCTTTGTCTTTGTGTGTGTTGTCTCTGTCTAGCAGAAAGCCGTGGATGCCCACAGACCGGGACGCGAGGTAATCGTACTCATAGTGGTCCCCGATGTGAGCCACTCTGTCAGCCGATGTGCCACATTTTTGGAGGGCCTGATGAAAGATTGCTGGATTGGGCTTCGCCACACCGGCCCCCTCTGATGTCACCACAAAGCTGAAGTGGGACAGCAGCCCGCAGCTTCGTAGAATCTCTTCAAGGCGATTGTCGAAATTAGATACAACTCCCAGCTTCAGTCCAAGGGAAGAACATCTTGCAAGAACTGTTTGAGAGTCTGGAAATACCTGGAAACAACATCAGACACATTTCCTCTAAATCCTTTACTTAAAAACTGTGTTTTCAAAAGCCTCTGATAACATGTGAAGTGATGATTACCTCCCAATTTTCAGCATTGCAGAAGTCGTGATAAAGTTTGGTAGCCATGGTATTTGCCAGGGCAGGGTCTTTGACCCCGCACTGGGAAAGGGTGTCTCGCACGACTCCTGTCCACCAAGTCTGTGCGTTCAGACCCTGAGAGATGCCGTAGTTCATGTATCTGCTGGAATAACGCCGGTAGGTCTCCCGGAAAGCAGCATTGACCTCTGCAGGTTGGAGGCTCAGCCCCCATTCTTCAGCCTCCTTGGAATACAAAAGTCCCACAGACCCGCGCACCTTCAGCAGGGTGTCTTTGACGTCCCACAACACCCAGCGCAGAGGACTGCCTCGCATTGCAGCTGTACAGATATGACACAGGCAAAACTGAGCAAAACATTAAAATTACTTTGTTAAAAATGTTTTTCTGCAGTGCATTCAGAATCCTAAGAAAACTATAGAGACTGGGATATATAGTGTGTAATTTAATAATTATATTAGGGAAATCTGTGTGTAGTGTAAAATGGTCAGTGCAACAGATGAAACTTAAACATTTTTCTTACAAAAATAGAGAACTGCGTAAAGACTTTTCCAGCCTAAAATATTCAACTTGCAAATTTCCTGCAAACTGTTAAAAATATCGATGCATATAAAGTCAGAATTCTGCCAAAGAGGGCAAAAGATGAACCAATACTCCTTCAGGCAGTTATGTTCAATTCCTACACTTATCAACTGTTCTTCACATGCCTTTTTAATGATATATGCAGCCAGATTCTGCATGCAATCTGTAACACATGAGAGCATGGTTTTTCTCAACATGCTTCTGACCTGCTGTCTGCACGTCCGTGGCATCTGGCGGTACCCACCAAGGGAAACTAAACGCCCTGTGATTGGCTATGTTTAATATAATGCCACCTCCTTAGATTATACTGTTTTCTTCCTGGTTGTGGTTAATAATGTTAACAAAGCATCTTCAAAATAAACACTGTTGTCTTAGAGAAAGGGTCTGCAAACTGTGGCCCCGGAGCCCAAAGTGGACCTTAAGACACCTGACAATAGCTTTTCCTTACTTTGATTAAAGATGCTAAAGAGCCGGATAATTTTCTAAAAAATACAGATAAAATGTAAAATACATGTTTTAGCTTTTTCTCCACTGAATTTCAAAATAAACTGACTATAATTATACATATTTTTTATCCTTTAAAAGTGGGGATTTATTTATTTATTTTTTTTTGTATAAATCTCCACAAATTTCTACAACCCATTAAAATGTATCTATTCTCTTTTTCCGTCATTTTAAAACCCTAAATTTGAAATGGCACTGTGGTTATTTCAAAAGCACAAATCTGGTGGTTATTTATTTAACATAAGTTATCTTTTTCCTTTAAAAAAAAAAAAAAGCTGAGGCAATTTTTGCAGCTCTAAGTGAGTTTTATTAGCTGAACTGAAATAAAAAACGTCTCTTTGGATTGTAAAGGTTCCAGACTCCTGGTCTTGAAGTTTATTTTGACTTCATATGTAGCAGTCATCTTTGTTATTAATCTTCTAAATTCAATGTTGGACACAAAAAGGACAAATACTTAATAGATGCAAACGGATTAGAAAGACCCCTGCCTGTGTTCAACCATAAACATGTTCATGTTGCTCTCAAATTCCTCCACAGTAAACCACCGTTAGCATAGCTCACTCCTGTCAGACCACATCTATGACCATATTAGGCTCATTTATTTAGTCGAACACTTCAGTTAACAAATTTCCAAATCTTGAAAACAGTGATTAGGCTGCAGATGCTTTTCTACAATTAAAAGCAACAACAAGGAAGAAAACAGTAGCCTGGTACTTCCTTCCCTTCCCATACTTCCAGTGCCGTAGGAGACGGCAGCCTCTCTAGTAGCTCTCTAGTTTCTACTCTTGGTTTCCTGTTTCTGTTTTTTTTTCAACCCTTTTGTACTTTTAGTTTATTCTACTGCTTTCTTTTGATTGAACACGCAAAACAGAGTCAACTACTGCATAGTCTTTCCTTAGCTCTCTACCATGCAGATATTTTTATATCTAAAGGTAACTTATTCCAAGACATTACAACTTTTCTTATGCTCTTTTGCACTATATACACTCTTTTTATGTTATCTGTTGCAATTTTATCTTTAATGGCATCTTGCTTTAACTCTTCCCTTTGTACTCTATATAAGCTACTGGAACCAGAATTTCCCTGAAGGAGTAATCCAAAATGATAAATAAAGTTAAGACTAAGTCTAAGTGCAATTTTAAGAGGCAGGATCACCTGAAATGTGGCCAATCGCAACTCCAGTGAGCATTACTCTATAAATGACAAAACTTAATAATAGTGAGCAGAAACAGTAACATGGTGGGTTGGAAAGAGGCTTTGGGCAAATGAAAATCAACCCTCGGGTGCACAGAGAAGGAGCAGCCACTGGTGCTGCTGTTATTTTCTGGGCCTCATGGTACTGAATCTACACATAGAGAGCAGTTCTTTTTTTTATGAACTCACACTGCAGGTAGGAGTATTTATCATGTGTGCACCCATTATGCTGAGAAATCCCCTATGATGATAAATATTTCTCTACAGCTGTCTTCCTTCCACTTAATTTGCCAGCAATTTGTTTGAATGCAGCGCTAAGTGAACAGGTCTTACCCAGCTTAATGAGGGTGTCAATGACTATAACTACTGGAAAGTTGCCAGATGAGTAGAAATATCCATAAATGTGTCGGCTATGACTAATTGTCTGCCTTAAATGCACTTTTATTTAGCTTATTGAATATTTGAAATGTCCTCAGCTGTATCCTATGGATCTGTGGTCATTTTAATATGCACTTCATATGTCATTTTATATGCAATTTTATATGCACAAAAAGCATGTGGTGGACTTGTTGTCCCACTTATTTATGTAGCTTCTAATAGGTTGATCTTAAAATTTTTCCAGCAAAGCAGCTCTTTTCAAATACATCTTATAAAGCTGAGACATCCCTAAAATGTCTCAGCTTGAGATCCAGGGTAGGGGACACAGGAGGAGATAAAGTCTAAAGCTAAGTTTTGGAGATAAACTCATAATATGAAAAGGAATTGAACCTATTTGCATATTTGCACATAAATAGCAACATAAAACAAATTTCATGAACATGTTTCCATCAGTAACCGCAACGATAACCAAGTGGATCCTTGGAGAGAACAGTATCAGACAACAAGCACAAAGGTTTCCTCTGTGTAGCCAAAGTTATATGATCTGTTTTTTTGTTTTTTTTTGTTTTTTGCCAAACACTGAACTCTTCATTATAGATGATGTCTCAGCTCTGATCTCCTCTGCTCAAATTAGTCAAGCAGCACTATGGATTCATCCAACCTGCACCTTTGCAGCACTGAAATATTTTAAGAATATTTGTGCTGTCATTAGGGCGGAAACAATCAGATTAATCGTGATTCATCGATTACTGAAATAATCTTCAACTAATTTA